GTAATGCTCCCATGCCATATAAACTTGTCGACTCCCCCATGCCCATGTAATGGTATCTAAAGAATAGTACTCGAGACTTCAATCGGGAAACAACTCTCTATAAGTGGAATATTCCACAGTTTAGTGTCAGGGTCAATGAGCTCACTCACTATGGAACCCACCAAAAACATGTGTGTTATTGAAGGGATGTGTAGCTCCTGGATAGAAGACACCCACCGATCACATCGAAATATTTGGAACGAAACTCTTAAGTGTTAAGCATGCTACGACATATGAAGCTAAAATAATAATCCAACCTTGTATCCAAGATACACAACCAAGTTTGTGATACTTTGCTCTAAGAATGCATGCATCAAATGATTGTGGGCGCTGATAGAGGCTCCAAAATTTCTTAGCTATGAGCACCATATTAAATCCTCAAAGATACCCCACCACAAGTTCATAATGAGGCGGTGCACTTCATCAAGAATACCTTCCTAAACTTTGAACACAAATATTGCATAGGTTAAATGCTTCTATGCTAATGATTTAGTCAAAACTTCTCTTGCTACAACATATAACACCTTCTCCTTTCAATCATTCAACTCTTTATGTTAAGCTCAGTGAACAACTCTTTCTTTGACCTTCCAACCACTGTATCACGTCCCAAATAATTATCACAGTTATCCACCATCTCCATTATGAGAATGCCAGTACTTCCAGCTTTCTGCGCGACTTCAATTCTCACTAAATGACAGTTCTGACTTTTGAAAACTAATGCCAACAAAAAAATGTGACAGCAATGGTTCTCCCTTTGTCGGCTACAAACTATAGAGGTGATTTTTCGGGACGACTAAAGATGTGTACATTGAGAGCCCCTTTGTACATAGCAAAAAAAAAAATGTATGGTGATAGGGGGTCTCTCTTATGCATACCCCATCCTAAATTAAAACATTGTGATTGATGAACATTCAGTAGAACTAAACAAAAGATCGTTTGAACACACATCATAAATAGTTGGCCCCAACGTTCAACAAAGCCCATCATTGTCATAAAACCTTCCATATATGCCATTCAACCAAGTCATAAGCCTTGGACATATCCATTTCGACCCCAAAGTATCACACGCTTCCTTTAGTCTTATTTTTCATCGTGTTGAAATATTCTAACGCATCCATTATATTGTCTATAATGAAACAATTGCGGACATAAGCACCTTGCGCTCAAGAGATGGACCGATCAACACGAATGATGTAAAACTTCATTGTAAGCCGATAAAATTCATTTATGAACTACATCCAAAACCAACATTGTCTCTGAAATTTGTCATGATGCAAGCAAGTTGCTAAATTAGTCAACCATGCACTGGAAAATTTGTATTACTATTACCACAACAAGATCACCATGTTCGTAAGTAGCAATACTCAATACTAATAGAAATTGTAGTACCACCTGCAATCAAGGACCAAACTTTATCAATGAAAACACCATTAGCTTCAAGATAAACACCCACTTTGGTAGCCAAACTAATCCATTTTCTTGTGAATTGTCCGTAGAGAAGGGTGTTAAAATCAAACTAGCCACTCACACCCTAACTACTCTTCCTTTGGTAACAACTTCAAGGGCAAATCAGTAAACCCTCAAGCAAACAAAAATTGCACAATTATCGAGTTCTAGAGCCCGAATCCCTACTCCCCATCACCTTCAAAAGATCATATTGTCGTTAACATTTCAAGACCATCCTTCGAATACCACACACAAATAGTCATAAATAAGAATCGAAATAAAATTAGCCCATCACACACCCATAAAAACATTAATCCCACAATTCCTTTCCTACGTACAATCTGGAGAATCGCAAGCAGTGAAGGATCACCAAAAATTGCCCAACCAAACTATGTTTGCCACTACTTATAACACCCCTAACCTTATCGATGTGAGATTCACCTATCGTATTACACTTATTTCGTTATTTCCAAAACAAATCATCTCTTCTTTCATCGAAAATTTAGAAAATGTGGTTATCGCTCACCAGATTCTCCACCACCATTCACTCCCCTTTCAACAATAAACAGTAACATGTGGCGGAATACATACTGTATTTGCAACTTCCGAATCTTTTTCTTTTCTGGTCGTGTCAAAGCATCTGCGCCTCTGCGGTCTGCCTACTTCAATCGCCTTTAATAGCCGGAGTAGTCCAGACTCCAGACTCCAGTCTAGTTCCTCTCAAATCAATCCCCAAAATCTCGAAAATAAATAATAATCATAGTAAATAATGAATATACTTTTCCCTTTCCGGTTCCCATAAATTTCAATATACACAATGATGCCACCGATCTTTCTCAAAACAATTAATTAATAACAACTAATATAATATAATATAATATAATATATATTAAATTGGAAGATTTCCATTTCTCCCATCCCTATTTCTCAGATTCCACCCCCACTTTCCTTCACCTCTCACCCATCGGCCACCGCCAGTGCAGGAGGGGAAAAGAAAAGAAAAAATCTCTCCGCCAAGCCCAAGGTTCATTCTGCTCTCACTCGAGCTCGCTCGCCGACTCCGCAACTCTCCGCGGAGGAGGTGGAGTAGGAGTAACAGAAGGAAGGAGGAGAAGAAAGATCTGCACTCTTCTGTTCTTCTATTCTATCAGCAGGCAGCTGATTCCCCGCTTCCACGCCACTCTCGCCTTCCTTTTCCCCCCCGGCTAATCTCCTTCCATATTCTCCGGTACGTACAATTGCTCTTACCGATTCTTCTCTCTACAAGCTTCCATCTCTTCCGTTTCTGCCGATTTTAATTAGCAATTCGATCTCTTCCGCCTGAGCTGAGCTGAGCTGGTACGGCGAAGCCTCTGGCAGCTTCGTTTTCGAATCGCCGCCTGCTACTTCTTTCTTACCTTGTTTTGAAAATTTTGAACGATTATCCAATGGTACTTCCTGTTTAGAGATTTTCCTGTTCTCGAGGAGGTTCGGGTGCATCGCGTTTCGAAACCGTCGTTCGTTCCTGTGGGAAGAGGCGAAAGGGCAAAAGTGGTTAGTTACAGGATTAGTATTAATTGGAGTTCTTATTCATTGAAATAATCTCGTCGCTGTGGAATTCTGGCATCGATAGTGCATCGTTGACCAATATTTTGACGGTACCGAGTCGTATACTATACTCTATCCTGAAGCTACAAAAGTGCACTACGTCTCTGTTTCTTTATTGTTATGAATACGTCTACATGTACAAAAGTGGGTGGTGTCGGTCATTCTCCTCATTCTTTTGGTACTATATTGTAATTTCCCTTCTTGTGTAGTATATGGCAATTTCGAGTAAAAAGGACAAAGCCTGGGAGAACTTGATATGATTGGAGAGCTGACCGTTTCAGCTTTCAACAGTTGATTCGTGATGATTTTTGTTCACGTCAGATCCCTGATATTTCTCTTTTAAACACCCAAGTCCCGTATAATTTTGGCTTTAGGGATTAGACAAAAAGTGATCCTAATTATCGCGTATCCTTTGTTCGTTTTTCTTGGGTCACCGTATCTTTGTTCGCCGAATAGCAGAAAAATATGTATTTTGTTTTCTCTCAGTATAATAATAATAAAAAAATTTCCGTTGAATATAATCAACGAAAAATATAATCAATTTATTTTTAAATAAAGAATATTTATAGTTTTGCGTCCTGAATTGCTATTCGTCGCCCTAAAATTTAAAAAAAAACGCCCTAAACCACACTAAATTGACATATTTACCCCTAACCCCAATTCTAAACAGAACCCTACCAAATAATCCGTCAACCCCAAGGTACCCGACCCTCACATCTGGCAAAATAATGCCGCCACCGTCGTCGCCGCCCTAGACTGCTCCCCGCCGCCGCCCAAGAACTGCTCCTGTCCGCCGTCCGATCCCCGCTACTATTCTTCCCATTGGTGTCGAGCAAAAGGAAAATGGAGGAAGGAGGATTTAGCAGTACATGACGAAATTCTTAAAGTGGGGTTCGTCATCTCATGTTAATATATGATTATATTTCTTACGAGAAGCCTAACCTATACGACCAAGATTTATACAGGGAAGGGAAGGGAAGCAAATTTCATTGACGACGACGATTGGGCATCCGGTGAGGTTGGCAGAATCCGGCGAGAGGGGATGTGTGATTATTTTAGGATTTAAGTGTTTGAAAGAAAAAAGAAACTAGGGCATTACTGTAAAATTATCTTAATTAGGGCGACGAATAAGAATATTTAGGGCGACGAATAGCAATCCCTTTTGCGTCTCTTAATGACAAATTATTCAGCCTATTTTGTCTATTTGCTATCAAGTTGGGTTTTTGTGTTTGGAAGTTGCTACCGTGTTAGCTGTGTATTGGGTGATCAAGTTCATGGCTGTCTGTCACTTGTAATTTGTAAATATGCTGTTGTTACTTATATCTAGGGCCGTTGGCCGTTGCTGTCTATGGCTGCCTTAAGTGGGTTCTACTACTAACAAATAAAAAGCAATATAAAAAAATGAATAGGATCAATGGGTTAATATAAAAAAAAAACAATATAAAAATGAATAGGAGGGTTCTATACTTCTATAAACTAAAGGTGGGAGTTGAGTGAAAACATAATCATCTCACGACCTAACCTCACCCCACGACCCCATAAGCTGCACCAATGTGCTTCAATAATTGAAGAGAAAGGGACATTGGCTTACTTGTTTCACCCTTTAATCATTCAACTGATGAACATTAGCTCTGATAAATGGCTAACATCATTGCTGATACTTGCTTGGTATGTATGACATACCTTTCCTTTTTCTTTCTCTTGATACGAGCATATTAAGAATTCTTTTTTCGATATAAGATGTACAAAATCGATATGAAAACGCTAAAATTTATTGCTTGTTTGTTCCCCTTTATTTCCATCGACGTTGGAGAAGTGCAGCTGCTATTTTGAGACGTTTTCATCTTCTGTGATTCTTCAAGTTGTGTTTGTCTCTCTGTCCACTGAAAACTTGTTTCGATTTCTTCTCCCGTGAGGCCATAGCATCAATTTTCATTTCGGTGGCAGAACGGATAGTGATACTACTGGGACGAGAAAAGAATGTACTAGTAGAGAGAACCAACCAAAATGCATTTATTCCCCTTCCTTATCCTCTTCTTCTTCCCTTCTTCCATCACCAATTCCTCGGATTCCAAATTTCACGTTCCCCCAAATGCATCACCATTATTAATGAAGGTTTTCTCCCCATACCTACAGCTCATTTTTCCTACTTTTCCCTTTTTTAGCTTCTATCTAGCCTTGGCTCTTATTTATGGGTGGTTGTCCTCACCTTCAAATACAGAAGTAGAAGATAGAACACTCTTGCTGTCTCACTGACTCACTGTCCATGTCACATTTACGTTCCGTGTCTGGCTGGGTATTATTAAGATTGTTTGGACGCGAAGAGGTGGTGCAATATACACTACAGAAAGTCCATAGGATTTACGTACTTGAATGACTCGTGTTCGTATTCAGGGGCAGCCCTTTTTTCTGGGGCGTTTTTTTTCTTCTTCTTCCTCCTCTGGTTGTCTCCTTCTCTTCTTTCTTATGTTTGGTAGTCAGCATTTATGTTTGTCCGTACGTCCCCTCTCGTTTTCGTCGTTTCTACTGGGACCGTCTTCTTGTTTTTCCGCCATCTTTGGGGTTGTCCTGAATCCTGATGGCTACAGAGGTTGTTGTTGAGGTCTGAACGTGGGCTCCGCTCTTTGAGTGGTTGGAAATGTCAAGTGGAGCTCTTTGTCAGCGGACACGGTGGACTTGTTTACGCCATGTGATAAGAAAACACCAAAACCAAAATACCATTCAAGTTTAACAACCCATCCCTATTCCCTACCTACCCAAACTTTACACTTCCCAGTTGGTTATATACTTCCCAGATGGTTAGCGTGTGAGCTTTTATTCTAAGGTATACTTGTATTGTATATATGAAAATGTCTTGTTATGGTTTCAAATTAAATAAGTAATATATCTCTGCTGATTTCGATCATGTGTCGATTTGGGGTTTAGGTGTTTGGTGAAGGAAGGAGAGTCCAAAGCTTTAAGGAAGCAGGGTGCTGACCGACTTCCAAGTTGTTTGTGGCGATGGCGGGGGAAGAGATAAACCAGAAGCTTTTGACCAAAACTGTCGAGGCAGAAGGCGAGGAAGTACCCTTGAAGTCCAAGATATGGACGGAGACCAAGAAGATGTGGGTTGTGGCTGCCCCAGCTACCTTCACCAGGTTCTCCACCTTCGGCATCAATGTCGTCAGTCAGGCTTTCATTGGCCATATTGGGTCAACTGAACTCGCTGCTTATTCCCTTGTCTTCACTGTCCTCTTGAGATTCGCTAATGGCGTCCTGGTGAGCATCTCTCTCTCTCTCTTTTTCTTCCTTCTATCTGCTGTCCTGTGTCTCCCACGGTCAAGTTTCTGACTGGTCATGGGTTTTATGCGTTGCAGCTGGGCATGGCTAGTGCTTTGGAAACTCTTTGTGGGCAATCATTCGGGGCGAAGCAGTACCACATGCTGGGAGTTTACCTGCAGAGATCGTGGATTGTTTTGATCATGTGCGCAATTCTGATGCTTCCGATATTCGTCTTCACTACTCCGCTCCTGGAGCTATTGGGCCAAGAGGCTTACATCGCTGAGGTTGGAGGAACTATTTCACTATGGTTGATCCCAGTGATGTTCTCCTCCATCGCTTCCTACACCTGCCAGATGTTCCTTCAGGCACAGAGCAAGAACGTGCTCATTGCATATTTGGCTGCAGCTTCCATGACCATCCACTTGTTCCTTTCCTGGCTGTGGACCATAAAGTACAGGTATGGGATCCCAGGAGCAATGATATCCACGATTCTGGCTTATTGGATCCCCAATATAGGTCAGCTCTTCTTTGTTACTTGTGGTGGCTGCCGCGAAACGTGGAAGGGTTTCTCGTTCTTGGCGTTCAAGGATCTGTGGCCTGTTGTGAAGCTCTCTGTTTCATCTGGGGCTATGCTTTGGTACGTTTCTTGTTTCCATTTTCGTCCACTGCTATCGTCTTTAGACACTTTTGGTTTCATGCTGCAATCTTCATCTTGAATAATGAATGTTGTTTATTTGACCACAGCCTTGAGCTTTGGTACAACACAGTGCTAGTGCTTTTGACAGGTAACATGGAGAATGCCGAGGTTGCTATTGATGCTCTTTCTATCTGGTAGTTCTCTGCTCAAGATTTCTGCTCTCCCGTACTTCTTTGGTGTTTGTGTTTATGCCTGGCTAGAAATGGCTCTCTTAAATTGGTTTTTTGGTTGCAGCCTCAACATCAATGGATGGGAGATGATGATCTCACTTGGTTTCTTAGCAGCTGCCAGGTATGTTTCATCACCGGAACACCTATCTTAATGCAACCCTTTCGATTTTCGAAGTGGAAATTCATCGATCCCGGTTATTGAATGTGTGATGCTTCAGTGTGAGGGTGTCGAATGAGCTTGGGAGGGGCAACGCCAAAGGCGCCAAGTTCGCTATTCTGGTGACGGTTGCAACATCATTCCTCCTTGGGGTCCTGCTATTCCTCGTTTTCCTGTTCTTGAGAGGGAAGATTGCTTACCTATTTACGGAGAACCTCGAGGTCGTCCATGCTGTCTCTGATCTCTCACCACTACTGGCCTGCTCCATTCTCCTCAACAGCATTCAACCAGTCCTCTCCGGTATATTCCCCAGAGACTTTCCACTGCTGATGAATAAGCTAGTAAATATTTTTAAGCTAAAACGAACTAACGTGCATCCCTTGTGGACAAACAAACAGGTGTTGCTCTTGGAGCTGGATGGCAGAGCATCGTTGCATACGTCAACATAGCTTGCTATTACCTTGTTGGTATCCCAGTTGGAGTTGTTCTTGGATATGTGTTTGGCATGCAAGTTAAAGTAAGAAACCTTCTCTACTTGCTTACTTTTCCTACACTCTTTCAGAACTCTACTCTTTTTCTTCATGGAATGTCAAATTCACACTATCAAATTCCCAGGGTGTCTGGATCGGGATGCTGTTTGGAACATTCATCCAAACCATCATTCTCGTCGTGATCACCTACAGAACTGACTGGGACAAACAGGTATGCTAATCCCCGATTTGATGTGTGTTTCGGCTCATAAAATCTGTATCTAAACCTGATTAACCAATCCTTTTTCACTTTTGATGATCTGCAGGTTGTTCTTGCTCGTAACCGTGTCAACAGATGGTACAAACCAGCAGCAGAACCTGAGGAGCAAAGTTTGTTGTCTTCCTAGGTTTCCACTAGCAGTAGCAACTTAGATTCTTTTGTGTGCAAATTCACCTGATATAGTCCAAGCCTCTCTTTTCCCTTCCATCCGAAATCCCCCCTTTTGTTACTGCAGTTAGAAAGATCTGCAGAGTAGTAGTATCTCCATTTCCCATTAATGACAAAAATTGTGTATCATCTCCTAATGTTACAGTAATGCCAGTTTCTCTTCCCACAGTCTCAATTCTATGTCACAGATGTTAACACAACAGAACGAAAGAAAAACAATTGCTCTAATCAACTTCACTGTTCACTGTTCACCAAAAGTTCTTAGGCGTGTGTATATGATGCCTGGACCCTCCACCACCACGGCCACCTCTATGAGTATCAGTAACAGCAAACCGCGAGTATCTCCTCGCCCTGTTTATCTTCATCCTCACGCCTGGAACCTTCCTCCCCACGGCCTGCCATATCATCTGCACAGCATCGCCTTCCACCGAAGGGTACTGGAACTGGAAGAAGTGCTCGACTTCCTTCAACCTCGTCCACATTCTCGTCCACTCTTCCTTCTTGATGCTCCTGATGAAGTTGATCAAGAACTTGTCCTTCACCGCGTCGGAGGTCTTGACAAACACGCAGAACTCGGAGTAGTCCAGGACGTCCTCGTAGGGGAGCTCGATCTCGTCGCTGATGATCACGGGGACGCAGTGGCTGGCGATGGCGTCGAAGAGGCGGTTCGACGAGGGTGTGTCCCCGGCTATGTTGAGGCAGAACTTGGATGAGTGCATGCCTCGGGAGGCCTTGTGGATGCCGTCTTTCTTCACGCTGCCGAACTGGAAGTGCACGTCTTTTTCGTCCTTCAACAGGTAGAACAGCTCTTGCCTAGCCAGTCCACCCTGAACAGCATTTTAACCAAACACATGTGAATTTCCTTTCTTACTTGGGGATGACATTTTCGTTCCCCATTCAAGTGCTGCAGAAGAGCATACACCTTTCCTGTAAATGGGGGAGAAAGGAAATGGAAGATCAACTTACATCTTTCCTGTAAATGGCACCCTGGAAGTAGAGCAGAGTTGGTCTGGTGTCATACTCCGAGCTGTCATTGACATAGCTCTTAATGATATGCTTGTAAGGCGCAATCACATCCTTGTCCACATTCGCCACATTGGGCGGATACCTGCCGAAATCCGACAACACAAACATCGCCGGCCACAGCTTCATCCTTGCGCTCAGCATACTATTCGGGTGGTGAGCCATCACCAGATGATCCCTCCCGCCGGACCTTTTCCACTCCGGCTGTGAAGTGAGGTACTTCACCACTTTGTCCTGCAACTCATTGTTCCTGCTCTTCTTCTGGTGCGGGTTCAGCTTCGAGTACCGGTTGTAGCTCAGGGAAGAGAAGAAGGGCACGAATATGATGTCGGCTTCGCTCGAATTCCGGACTCGAATTGCACTACCGGCTCGAGGAATCTGAGGGACTTCAGAAGCCAGAAGGTCCAATGTAAGCCAGTATTCGATGCTGTGCTGCAGATTGAGTCCGCCTGGGTACCCGGGTATGTGGGTTTTTATGTCGGGCCATACCCGACCCGGTTCAGGCTTCCAACCCAATAGCTCGAAGTGGAACTCTGGAGGCATATCGTACATGAAAACCTTCAATTGTGGTTGTTGCTGCTGCGGTTTGGTGTTGACGAGGCTTCTTTCGCCATTGCAATTCACATCACCATTGACACTAGCAGCTCTGGTTTCGGGTCTTATTATTGCTTCTTCTTCTGCAGCTGTGGGCTTGTTATCATTCACGGGCTTGGGTCCGGCGTCAAGATTGGCGGTGGTGGCGGCGACGATGTTGTTGATTTTTTCTGGTTTTGTGGGCTCGGTGTCGTCGACGAGGATTGCGCGAGTCCTGGTGGAGATGGAGCTAGGAGTGGAGAGCTGTTGGTGGAGGGGGATGTCGCTTTTAACGACGGAGAGAGTGGTGACCGTCGGTAAAAATGCGCGGTCGAGGAAGCTTGGGCGGGCGGTGGAGGAGCGGAGGACGAAGAACCATGAGAGCATGAGCACGGCGGAGACAAACGGGAATACGCAGAATAGGAGCTTTCTCGCGGCGAACCCAATTGACGAGCCCCCGTGTCTGTATTCGCCCATCGGAAAGGGGGGAATGAATAAAAGCACCCCTAATATTGCAATCTCCGGAAGAAGACGACGGCCGGTTATTTCCCTCCGGCGAGCTGAAAAATTCTCTCAGACGAAAATTCAATGGCGTTCCAGTGAACCAACACGGGAAACCAACGGAAACCCAGATTGCAGAATCGGTTTCTGTGTGGAACCCAGAAACTGAAAAGACGCAATCATGCGGAATGAAGCGAATGCAGAGATGTAAAGAGAGAAAGAAGAGGAACCAAATACACGGCAGAACTATCGCGTCTTCCTTCCCCTCGCCGCCGAAAGAGTTACGGCACTGAGCTCCGTCCGCTTGATTCTTGGTGGGTCTGCAACAACAAATCAATCTCTTTTTCCCGTTATTTCTGTTTCTTGAATTTCAGAGAGCGAGAGGGAGAGGAGTAGAGGTGGGGGAGGAAGAATTTTGGGATGAGGAGAGGGGAGAAGATGGCGGAGGAATAGGAGGATGAGGTAGCTTATGGAGTTGTCTGGTGGAGGTGATGCCTGTTGGACCGCCATTCTCGTTTTCCTCTGAAGCTATTTATGGTTTTGATTTTCCGGGCCTTTTGTTTTCTTCTGCAGTTCCAAGAAGAGCAGAAAGAAAGAAAAGAGATGGATAATTATTAATTAACAATCAGGAGACACGGCCTCGAATCAAAACAAACAGCATTCAATTTTCCTTTCTCCCGTAGATCAGATCCGGGGAATTAGATCTAATCGAATCAAAAGTGGAGTTCGCCTCGTTAATCTTATTTAATTAAATTAATTAATCAATTGGTCTTTCGAGATCCGGGCTTTTAATCAGGAACCATGCGCCTACATAAAATCAGAATATTTATGGGATTAGTAGATACTTTCAGTGGGACGGTTTGTGATTAGTATTTTCTTAGTGGGCGCAGACTTACTAGTGAATTTTTTATTTGTTTGTTTTATTGACCTCGTGAATTCGGGTACAAGGAAGAAACAAGGCAAAGTACTTGGTTGGCCAGCGTTTAATCAAATATAAAAATTAAGTTAATGTCTATTATTATTCAAAAAAATTCAATTTTTTTTGTATTTTATCCAAATTTATAAAATTTCTATTTATTATCCAAACGTATTGTAACTGATCAAAGTCTGGGCATTCATTATGTTACCATTACTTATCTCGTAACAGTATTTCACGTAAGCATTCACGTTAGAAATTAATATTTAAATGTATTTTATTATTATAAATTGAAGGAAAATTTTTATTTATTACCAAAACCTTTTGTGAGTTTGGAGCAAAGGTTTGGAGCAAAAGCACCAAACATACATAACCAATCTCGTTGATGTTTGGTTATCACACATTATTTCACGGTCTGAGTTCAGGTCCTTAAGGCCTAATCCTTAAGAAGAAACTTAAATGAATTCTATTGGTTGCTGGGTTTTTAGTTAGTTGTAGGAAGTTATATGTTAATTAATTAATAAGGATATTTAGGAGATTGTAATTTATATTAAAATTATAATAATTAATCCTAATAAGGAGTTTACCCATGTGTTGGCCAATTTACCCAACCCTAATTAGTATTGAAATTCCGTCTTTTGTTCCTCCCTTCCCTATCACGAGAGTAACTCTCTCCGTCCGACGTCGACGCTCTTGATTGCTGCAAAGACCTCCTCTTCCCCACTCCTGCTATGCCGGTTGCTTCGCTGGAAGCCGGCAGGCCTTATGGACCTCCTCTTCTCTGTTCCTGCTATGCCGGCTGCTTCGCTGGATCGGCCGGAGTTGCGGAGGCCTTCTTGAAGACCCACGATGTCAACTTCTCCCAAAGGCCTCCCGCTTACTCCGCCGACATCCTCGCCAACAACAGCTCCGCAAGATATGCACCGTCGAGCTACATTATTAACATTGTTCCACTTTCTGCATTTTAACAAAATACTGTTTTCAATAATATTAAGCTATATTATTAACAGTTTAAGTCTCGCTATTATCATTTTAACCTCTGGTATTAACATTTTAACTTAAGTTATTAACATTTTAACAAATTATTAGCTATACTTTCAATAATATATATTATTAACATTTTAACTTTCCTTATATAAAGATGGTTTCATCAAAACTTACGTTATTAACAATTTAAACTGCGTCATTATCATTTTGGCCTATATTATTAACATTTTAACCCATGTAAATTAAAAAGAGCTTTTTATTTTAACCTACACGTTATTAACATTTTAAGCTATGTTATTATCATTTTACTTTTAGCCAACATTATTAACATTTGGTTCTCACTCTAACTCTCATTACTAACATTTTAACATTCGTTGTCTATCTTTTCCCTTACATTATTAACATTTTAACCTACGTTATTATCATATTAACCCACATTATTAACACTTTTACAAATTATTGTTACACTTTCAACATGTATTAAACATTATTCACATTACAAATTCTTTCCATTTTATTCTATGTTATTAACATTTTAAGATACATTATTAACATTTTAATCAAAGTTATTAACTTGTCATTATTACCCATCACGCCGAGCATGGGAAGCTGGTGGCGACGTCGATGGGAATTTGACGATAAGATGGTCGCGACGGGGGAAACGACGACGACCAGGCAGCTGTGACGCCGGGTTTGCAGACGAAACGGCGACGTGATCGCGACTTGACGACGACAAGATTGTAGACGAGGAAACCAAAACTGATGCAGCCGTGACTGGACGACGACGAGATTGCAGACGAGGAAACCTAAGCTGACGCAGCCGTGACTTGATGACGACGTGGCCCAGCTGTGATGCAGTGGCTCCGACGTCGGGATTGCACCCGAAACGCGATGGCTAGCCGGCGATGGTTTTGCAGCCGTTTTAGAATTCGGAGGAGGCCGATTTTTCCGAATGAATTTTCAAATCAATAGTTAGGTATCGCAAACATGATTTCTACCGTTTTCCTTTTTAATTATTAACCACATTAAATTTTTATTATATTCCAGTCCTACCCTTTTAGGTAGTTAACTAATTATTACTAATGTTTTTCTCTCTCCTTCTCCTATTGGCTGGAGATGGTTTAAGATCTTCCTTAAGAATTAGGCCTTAAGGACCTGATCTGACCCGTTATTTCACCTAGGAAGTATTCAAAAAGTAGATTACTTCACATTTAAACATGCACGATATCATTGACAAACAAGAATATTGATATTGATGATCCGATTCAATAATATTATCGCATTCTTAATACACACTTTGTTGCGAAATTTAACACGAATAGATACTAAAAAAGCCGCCACTTTTTTGAGATGAGAAGTACAAGACCGATATTCAACGAAAAAAAGAAGTACAAGACGGAAAATAAACAACACAAACACATGATACATACTTTTATAAACAACACAAACACATGATACATACTTTTATTCAGTGCAACAGTATCTAAGAAATGATGGTGGGTGGAAGTTGTGCCGTTTAACTGTAATCATGAATTCTTGATGCATATCCATATGCATGAGGAGTATTGAGGACTACTGGGCTGGCGGGAGTTGATCAGCAGGTGGTGGGCTCGGGCCCATATCATTCTGAGTGTAGTGACATTTGGGCCATGGTCCTCGAGCTTCGAAGCCACGTCGAGTGCAGCATCGGCCCATTCCCCGAGCCAGGAACAAGCCCAACAGAGTCCCTGCGGCAAACGTCACAACTGAGAAATGTTCCCTCTTTGTGTTTTGTTTTTTGTGGAGGTTCTGAGTTCTGATGGACAATCAAGTATCTGCAGGTTGAAGTTGCTTTTAAAGCTGGAAGGGCAACGTGATGGCCAAGGGGGCCAGCCCAGAACGGCAAGGCTCTTTTCATCATTGGGACCTCAGCAGCACAGCACTTGGAGAATAAGCCAGAGAAGTTTGACTGAGGCTTTTTAAAATAATAATAATAATAGACCACTGTTAGACGCAAGGGTTATAGGTATAATATGCCCCTCTACTATAACGTTTTATCAAACATGCCCCTCTACTATTTTTTACATCAAACATGCCCCTGTACTTTGGAAAAGTTATCAAACATGCCTTTTTGTTAAAATTTACATCCAAAAACCGTTAACCAAGACCGAAATTTGGTTTGGGCGACCCAAATATCTAAAATATCCCTAATAATTTCACTTTAGAGTTTTTTTGGTTTTTTTGTATAGCCAAATAATTCTAGTAATTTCACTTTGACGAGACCTAGAGAAATAAAACAAGGGTCAAAACTGACATTTCCCCTCCCATTTATCGATGTTAGGTTGTCTAAATCTCGGCTCAACCATGATTGACGATTTTTTCAATGGAAATTTCAACTGAAGGGCATGTTTGATAGTTTTTCCAAATTATAGGGGCATGTTTGATGTAAAAAATAGTAGAGGGGCATGTTTGATAAAACGTCATAGTAGAGGGGCATATTATACCTATAACCCTAGACGCAAAATCTTGGAAACTGGAGTCGTGTATAATTCTGAAGGCTGTCAAACAGGTTTATTTGGTTATTATGGTTTGGCAAGTGGTATGGTGGTATTGTATGATCAGTGTTACAATTAGTTTATCTTATGTCAGTTTTAGCAAAATATGTAGCAAGTGGACATTATTAGCAAAATGAATTTGGGGTCGTTTGGATGTGGAAATTTGAAAACGTTAGAATTTGTATGAATTTGCGAGTTTTACAAAACCAATGAATTGACTTGGTGGAAATTGAATGAAATTCCACGTTTGGATATGGTTTATTTTTTGGGAATGATTGTGTGAAATTTGGTGAAATACAAAACTGCCCTCTTTTGTTTGTATACATACATTTTCTAAAGGTTGTTGTGTTCTACTAACTACTAATTGTTGATACTAATTAATAATGATGCTAACTATCAATTAGTGTGTCTAGAAGTTCAACAGTATAAAGGTTCTAAATACCTAAATTATAAATGCGGCTAACCACAACCAGGACAAATGTTCGGCTGAACAACCTAAAAGTAAGGACAATCAATAGATAAGAGCGAGTTCAACAAATTAATACAAAATCAATCTTGAAAAATTGTCGTTCAAACATTCAATCTTGAAAATTGCCGAGATTTTTCACTAGTACGGGAGCTATAACATTTAGTATGTCGGGTCTCGTCCAAATTTTCACAGGCATCGACTATACCCTGTGCTCATTGGCTCTAATCCAATCGAGGACTTTCCCTCCATATCCATCTCCAGTCCATGGTCGTTGTCCCTCTTCTTTAGATTCCTCCCCCCTCTTACATGTCTTGTTTCTGTTGCATTGGCTCATTCCTCTTGGTCGATATTCCAATTAAGCAAATCTCATCATTAAGCAAATCTCATGAGGAGAAGCAGGAAAATCGACGACGGATGAGATATTTAAGTGAATAAAAAAATAAGAAATCGATGACGGATGAGATGAGAGGAAATATACAAAGGTGAGGGGAGATGAAGCAGAAGAGGCATCATTATTAAATGAAGAAGGGGGTGTTTTTGTAAGAAATAACTTGGAGAAATCGGGAAAGAAGTAAGAAAAAAAGAATAAAGGGAAAATTTTGGAAAAAATAAGAAACGTGGTAATGTCAAATTACTAGAGGGAGGGGTATTCTCAATTACCATGAATATGGTAATTGAGACCAATTTCCATGGCCCAATTCACATATCATCTTGCTCCCTCAAACATGGGGTTTTAACCCAATTACTGCATTATGTGATAATTGGGTCCAATTACTGCATTGCATTTTCACATCCAAACAACCCCTTAGTGGTCGTTTGAAAATTGTGATTGTTAGAGTTGTGTTTATTTAATACATGTATTGTACCCAATACCATGTTTGGAAGTGTCAAAGTGTAAAACTAGGTCCCACCAACAATCATAAAAAATTATGCATCATACAATCTCAACTAAAAGTTGAGATTGTTGGTTTTACATTTGTGTCCGCTTTTTCTTTTCATTTATATCTCTAATAGTTTTTGTCTTATACTAAAAAAAAGTTGAGGATAAATGTGACATTTTCCCATAAATTAACTTTGTCACTAGGAATCGATACCAGAGTCTAATTCTGAGAATCAAGAAAAAGTTGGCGCCTTGGAAGGCGCGCCGCTTGTCCTTGGCAGCGAGACTCACTGTGGTTCGATCTGTATCGTCATCCATCCCTACCTACTCTATGCACACTGAACAATTACCTGTTAATGTTTGCAACTCTATTGATAAGATTAACAGGAACTTTGTCTGGGGCGAAGAGGAGGACCAAGGGAGGATGCACCTGGTAGCTTGGGAGAAGCTTTTGGAGCCAAAGGGGCAAGGAGGAGCGGGGCTTCGGTCCTTAAGACAAGCGAATCTCTCCCTCCTAGCTAAGACGGGCTGGCGCTTCCTGACGGAGAAAGACAACCTTTGGGTGCGAATTATGGAGGACAAATACGGGAGGAAGCGGAAGGGCATTGAGATGCTTCGGTCGAGTCAGGGAAGTTCTTTTGCTTGGAGAAGCATGACTAAAGCTTCTGATTTGTTAAAAAAGGGCCTTGCTTGGAATATTCACAACGGGAAGAACACTAATTTCTGGAAGGATGTGTGGTGTTTGCAGGTTCCCCTGATGAATGTTGCAGTGCAGCCCTTGCCGGAGGAGATGCTGGCGGATTCGGTGGCGGATTATGTGGACGAAGATGGATGCTGGGATGTGGACCGTTTGAAGGACTGGCTAACGGAGGATGCCCTGAACAAAGTCACGGCGGTGGCGGTTGATCCGCTCTCGACCACTGATGACGCTCTCTTCTGGTCGGCCTCTGAAAATGGCCGATTCACTGCTAAATCGGCGTATCTCATGGCGTACCCCGGACAGACGGGGCACAATGAGAGTCTGTGGAAGAAGATTTGGCGGCTTCACGTCCCGGAAAGAGTCTGTTGTTTTACCTGGTTGGTGGCCTTGCGGAAGATTGCGACTAATGTGCTTCGTTTCACCAGGAAGTGTGCGGATTCCCCAGATTGTCACAGATGTACTGGCACCCGGGAGACTGTCCTTCACATTCTCCGGGATTGTCCGCCGGCTGCGTATTTCTGGTATAGACAGGTTCCTCAGGCAGAGCATCACGATTTCTTCTCGGCCTCAGTTGAGGATTGGATAAGAAGCAATGTTAACAGGGAGGAGGAGATGGAGTCATGTATGGCATGGAATGAGTTTTTTGCATCTGCTATTTGGTTATTGTGGAAGAACAGGTGCACAGCCTGCTTCAAAGGCATTGGAGCGGCTTTGACTGCCCCCTCTCTGGCGAATTCTATCCTTCATAGAGCTTCTCTCTGGCACAAGGCGTGGGTCTCAGGCAGCGCGGTTCAGCTCCAAGGCTCCCCTGCGGTTCATAGGGTGCTGGCGGACATCAGGTGGGTGGCCCCCCCCGGCGGATGGATGAAGCTGAACGTGGATGGGGCGTCGGCCGGGAATCCAGGGCAGGCTGGTGCGGGAGGGCTAATTCGGGATGAGCAAGGCAGATGGCAGGTTGGGTTTGTGGCAATGATTGGGGAGGCGACCGCTGCCTTGGCCGAGTTGTGGGCTCTGTTCCATGGGCTGAATCTCGCTTGGAAGTACAGGTGCACCAACCTCTTGATTGAGACGGACTCTCAATTGGTGGTCCAGTGGCTGAAGAACAGAAGTGACCCTCTCCATCCTCATGCCTCTCTGCTGGCCTCCATCAGGAGACGCACGGCGCAAGACTGGCTGGTTAGCATATCTCATACATACCGGGAAGGGAATAGAGCCGCGGACTGGCTCTCGAAGCACAGTCTCGTCTATCCCTATGGTATGCATGAGCTTGTTAATCCGCCTACGGGTATCGGAAGCATTCTTCAGGACGATATGAGAGGAATTTCTTTTGAGCGGAGGGTACTAGCTACCCGGTCTTTGTAATTCTGTTCCCCTTGTACCCCTTCTTGGCGCTAGCCTCCTTTTACGCAAAAAAAAAAAAAAAAAAACAACCAAACAATGTATTATTAAAATGCATCCATTGTATCAATACATGTATTTATATTATACTGCCAGAAAGTGAATTGAGGATGTATCATCTTGAAAATAGGTTGTCATCGGTCCTTTTCATGCGTTCTGTCTTCAGCTCATAAGAATATGTGTCTTGTGGTTCAAGAAGCGGTGCCAAATCATAATCTAGTATGTACACGATCTTCAAAACAGTCAACAGAAATTTCATATTCTCTTGTCAGCGGGTAAATTGGTTCCATAAAACCGATTAAGGTTGTTGGATTGGGAAGAAAGAATACGTTTTCAAAGTAGTCTCCATTTCATAATTCATTTTTATTCACGAATAAATCCTCTAAATTTTAGAAATAGGAATAGAGATCATAATTGAAGGTGTAATCCTGTCACTCTCATCAAAGTATTTATTTGCGCCACTACAATCACTAATACGATTAGGCAAACCATCCTCAAAAATAAAAATATGAAGCAATGACTTGCATATTTATGTGTTTGTGAAAAAAAGAAGAAAAACGAGGAGAGAAGATGAACACCTCTTACAAAAATTCATTAGCCAGGTCGTGATCAAAAGTTTTATAATCCCCCTGCGCTCCTTTTTCTTCCGTATTTCTATACTTGAAGGCCAACTCTAAGATAGTCTAAATAGGCTTGGCAGGCCGGGGCCCAAAAGCGGGTATCCGCCCGAAGCCCGCCCGATAAGGGCCCAGTTCGGTGGAGGTTACGGGCCCATCAACGGGTGGCGGTTAACCCGGGACCCGTCGACCATGGGTTTCGGGCGTTTGTGGTTCGTCCAGTATCCGCCCCGCGACCCGCCCGACGGGTTACCCGTGCAAAAAAACGACGGCGTTTGGAGGGGCATATATATTCATCGTTTTCCCTTGAGAAACCCTAGCTGCCGCCTCATTTTCATTCTTCACCAAAAACTGAAACCCTAGTTTCCTTCTTTCTCTCAATCTCTCTGCCTCCTCTGTAGCGAATCGCGATCAGATCGCTAGATAATCGCGATCTGGCCGATTTTTCGCCATTTCTCCTCATCAATTCCTCCATTCGACCAATTGCATGGCTGGAAGAGCAACCATCCGACGAAGATTTCGTCGGCCGCAGTCCAAAAACGTGTCGTTCGAAGTTCAAATCGCCGATTCTTCGAGAAAACTCAGAAAAGATAAGTTATTTCTGGGTTTCTTTTCTTTTCTTTCAAGTTTATTCCCTGATTCCTCGTTCCCCCAACTCTATTCTAACCCTTCTTGTACTGGTATATATAGGGGGGATTCAGAGCCGAGAGGTCTTTTCTCACCACGCCATCTTCTGAAATCGAGAACAAGAAGTCAAGAACACCCCAGTCGAGTCCACAGAGAGCTTAGATCGAGGGATTTAGGCGAGCCTCCAGACAGAGTCCAGTCATCGAGGGTAAGTTGCTTCATCTCGCCTATACTTTTTATGAATTATTGGTTAGTGGTGTCAATACAGACATGCATGCATCAAATTGCAGTTCTAACTTGCTTTCTGTTCGTTGTTGACTCTTGTTTGTGCTAGGTTGGTCTCGGTCGTTTGGAACTTTGGATCTGGTTTCGAGAACTGAAGTGGAACAGAGTCAGTGAGCAGGGAGGATCAGTCTACTGTCATTGGGTACTCGACAGTCCACATAAAACTCCAATCCGAGAAGGTAATCCCGTCCTCCTCTCCTAAGCCTCAACTCACTGTGTTTGACTGTTTGTTCATAAATCATAATGCTGTGACTTGTTGTGACAATAAGAGGATTATGAATCCTGGATTCATAATGCTAATAATTAAAAATAATTAAACTGTAATCGTGTTGTGCTGCTTAAGATGTTTGTTTGCAAATTTGTGAAATGTGAATGTAACTAAGTTAATAAGTAACTAAGTTAATGTAAGGTGCTCCTACTAAGTTAATGTAATCGTGTTTTGCTGCTTAAGATGCTTAAGGTGTTTTGCTTAGTTACATTATGTAACTAAGTTAATAAGTAACAACTAAGGCTTAACTGCTTAAGTAGTAATACATAATTAAGTAGTAATACATAATTTTTTTATGTTCAGATGGAATGTGCTCTTACTGCTATAAATGTTGACCTTGCTCCCAATGTCAATGTCCCTGAACAACCTGTCCAACCTCAACCTGAACAACCTGGTAATGTTGAGGAGCTTGAAGCTCAACGTAAGTTGACCTCTGATGTGTGGCCTCACTTTAACCGAGTTAGGGTTAATGGGGTTATGAAGGCTAGGTGTAAGTACTGTCGTAAATCCCTTGGTGGGGAAACAAGTAATGGAACTTCACACCTAAGAACCCATATCAAAACATGTATCCAAAAGAGGATACATGATGGTTCTCAAAAAATACTTGGGCCTAACTATAAACCTGCTGGAAATCCTCAACTCTCTGCTTCTCAATACAATTATGAGGTATCTAGGAAGGAACTTTGCTCAATGATTCTGGTCCATGAGTACCCCCTTAGCCTTGTTGATCATGTGGGTTTCAAACGTTTTTGCTGTTCTCTTCAACCTCAGTTCAGTGTTCCTAGTAGAAACACTGTCAAAAAGGACATTTTGAGTTTGTATGGTGTTGAAAGGGGTAAATATCAGACCATTATTGATGGTAACCTGGGGAGGGTTTCAATTACAACTGATTTGTGGACAACCAGAAATCAGAAAAGGGGTTATATGGCAGTAACTGGTCACTTCATTGATAACTCTTGGAACCTCCGTAACATAATGATGAGATTTATGTATGTTCCAGCCCCTCACACTAGTGAAAGGCTTGCTGATAGGTTGTTTGATTGTCTTTTGGATTGGAACATTGATGGTAAGTTGTCCTCAATCACATTGGACAACTGTACCACCAATGATTCCATGATTTTCCACATGAGAAATAAGCTTCTGAGCAGTGACTTGTTGCTTGATGGTAAATTGGTTCATATGAGGTGTTCTGCTCATATTCTGAATTTGATTGTAAGGGATGGTTTGGATGCAATCAAGGATGCTATAAATCTTATTAGGGAGAGTGTAGTTTACTGGAATTCTACACCTAAGAGGGTTCAAACCTTCTTCGAAGTTGCTAAGCAACTTAAGCTGTCCGTTGAGAGAAAATTAGTCCTTGATTGTCCAACTAGGTGGAATTCCACCTATCATATGCTCTCTGTTGCTATTCCCTACAAGGATGTCTTCTTTCGTTTGAGTTTGAGAGACAATCATTACACATCAGTTCCTTCTAGTGAACAATGGGAATTTGCTTCTACTGTGATTGGGAAGCTGGAAATCTTTTCTGAGATTACTGAGTTGTTCTCTGGTTCCAAATATCCTACTGCCAATCTGTTTTTCCCCAAGATTTGTGACCTCAGACTTAAACTGAATGAGTGGGGTGTTGATCCCAATCCTGTGATTTTTGGAATGGCTAGTCAAATGTCACTGAAGTTTGATAAGTACTGGGATGATATCCATCTTGTGCTTGCTGTATCGGTTGTTTTGGATCCTAGATTTAAACTCCATGTGATTGAATACTATGCTGGAAAGTTTGGGAATACAGAAACTGATTTGGTTGCTGAGAATATCAAGCAAATGATATGTGGTTTGATTCGTGATTATCAAACCAAAGCTGAGAACAAATCTGGTTCTCAAACTGGAACTTCTTCTTCTGGTTCTGGATCTGCTTCTGCCACTGAACTTGACTTTGAACTCTTTGTAAGTCAAAGGAAAAAGAGTAAGACTTCCTTGATTACAACTGAGTTGGATATGTATCTTGCTGAGGATATCATTCCTCGCACAGCAGAGTTTGATCTGCTCTTGTGGTGGAAATTGAATGGTTTGAAGTATCCGACCTTGCAATCAATTGCAAGGGACTTTCTGGCAATCCCTATTACTTCTGTGCCTTCTGAGAGTGCATTTAGTTCTGGTGGGAGGTTGTTAGACCCTCACCGGAGCAGGCTGCATTATTCGACTGTGGAGGCAATGATGTGTACTAGGAGTTGGATAATGGAGGACATGCAACGAGGTAAAATGCAACTATATCTCTCAAAATTATTGGTTTAAGTTTTAACAATAGTATCCACTCATTCAACTGGTTTTGTGCAGATTCAGAGGCTGCTGCAGAGGCATTGGAGGGACTCTTCTCAGCAATGACAGTGGAAGATACAAGTGTGGAAGAGGCAGAACCTGGTGGTAAGCTCAATAGATCATTTTTAAAAAGTGTGTTCTATCAGTTCTTTGTATTCTTTCATTGAGGAATACTTACATTTGCATTGTTTCTATTTCAGGTCCAGAACTCACCTTAATGAGATCACCATTTGCCCATGAAGACTGATTGGTAATCTACTGTGGGACCAAGGTAAAAAATGTCTTCACAAAACCAGTTGTTGTCGTTGATGAATGAGTTTTATGCATTTAGTCTTTACTAACAGTGTGTGTTCTTTACACAGTTTCAATTGATGTCTGCTGGTCTGCTGATTTACATCGATTGGAATGAGGGTCAGGGGTGGTCGGGTGGATGATTCCTCAATGATTCGATGCTGCTGGAACCTGAAATGTTGATGAGCTGCTGTTGCTTGCAGCTTTTCTTTCTACTGTTTTTGGCAAACGAATTAGACATTTTAGAATTTAGAGTCGGCTGTTTTTGGTTATTGGTTCATCTGATTTTTGGTTATTGGTTCATTTGATCATTGTGATTCACAAACATGGAACAAATGTTGTTTTTGGTGTTGTTGCTTGCTGAGCTGTTGGCATAGTGCCACTATTGCAGCTTGGCATGCTTTCATTTGTTTATTTCAAGTCATTTTGACAGATCAGTGACAGTCAGTATGAATAAATTTGCCAGTTTTCCAGTTTTTTTGTCATTTTTAATTTTTTTTTAATGTTTGTAGCGGGTATAATGGACCCGCGGGCACCCGATTACCCATTGGGGATGGGGATGGTTATCCAGCCAAGCCCGCAAGACCGTTTGGGCCGGGGCCGGGGAAACCCGAGGCCCATGGTGGGCAGGCAATGGATCCAGGCTACCCGGCCCCGATCCGCCCCGTTGCCAAGCCTAAGTCTAAATACTCATCCAATTCTGGGTCTCTCCCAAGGAAGCTTTGCCCTCATTCTTGACTGCCCCTAGTCTTCAGTCTCCACTATCTACTTTGTTCAATGTTCACCTGAGTATGAAATTCTTCCCCAACCACGGCTTCCTTGACCCTCTAGCCTCGGCACTCCTTCAAACTGGTGCTACATGAGACCATCTTGCCTCCGGATCAGCATCATCATGGCCGTGCTTTGTGTCAATTTTGGCAACAAGCCGTGACGTTCGTTGTAAAAGTAATATGTAGATAACAAGTTCTTAGGTGGCAAAGGCTAATTTCTGTAACCTAAAAGCATTAATTTCAGCCAAAACTTAAGGAGCTCTTTGTTAGTTTCAACATCCACAACGAGCAATGAAAAGTCAAGCAGGCACATTTCATTTTGTTCTCAGATAAGAGGAGGGCATGATCACCATCATTCAGACTAGGTGAAAGCCAACTACAACAAAGTGCGCAATTGAAATTGCTCCCGAGCTCGAATAAACATGTTTAGATCAGAACTGAAACTGCATCTCGGGGGTATAGCCAATCGCTTCAAGGTGTGCTGCCATGGCCTTGTTCATCGGTGGCGGTCCACACCTAAGAATCTGCACATTTGCATCGTTATATGGTTAGCAGCTGACGAAGTTGATGGCATAGCAGGAGCACTGATGAATGACATAATGCAAAGTAGAAGCAAGGAACTCAGCAAAGGTTACCTGGATATCAGCTGCTGGAGCTGGCAAATGGGTTTGAATCATTTCCTTTGAAACAAAACCAACACCACCATTCCAAACCTCTGGGGGCTGCATTTCAGTGTGTGTCCATATCATTATTTAACTAAAGCCATAAACAAAGGCAACCATATCAACAGACGGATCAGAGAGGTAAACAGTGTAACAACGAACCTGATTCAAGACATAGTAGATCTTGAAGCTGTCAGGGTACCGAGAAGCAAGACCTTCCAATTCCTCCTGAAAATTAAATTGGGGTTACAGTTAATTACTGTGTTTAACAGAAGAGGGTTTTTAACTAAATGAAGAAAGCAACTTAACATTTAGAAGAAGAGTGCATCTTGATTTTTACTAGAATGATTATCCAACAGAATCCTGATTTTACCTCCAAATTAAGTAGTAAACTCTAGACCAACAGTAGAACTAGAAGAATTGGAACACTCCCTTCCAGCTGTTTTAAAGCCTTATACAGTCTTTTTAGCTTGACAAGTTGAGTTTTTTTCATTTTTGTACTTCATCAACTTAAAATGCTAGCAGGACACCCACATTACCTTTAACAAAATGTCATCATGTGTTACGTTGGCATAAATAAGATGGACCTTCGTCTGGTCTTTCGGGTTTTCCAGTATGGCTCTGGCAACCTGAAGTAGGAATTAACAAAATTAAATCTTATATATATCTTCGCCAAAAGTAAAGTCCCGTGCTACTGGCACCCAGAATAACTCATAAATAAATAAAAAACGAGAGGCATGTAGATACTAACAGCCGAAAAGTTAAGTTTCAGAGCGTACTTGGAACATTGGTGTAATGCCAGAGCCACCAGCAAGCATTCCAAAAGCTCTAACTTGGCCAGGTTGGTATCTAAAACGCCCCTGTTTACCAGTTAAATTTCAGACATTGTCAGCAACAGAACTGAAACCACTCTTCCTATGATGGAAATCCTCATAGTGAAGCAAAATACACAATGGTTCAACTAACAATAAGCAACACCCCTGCAGGATGCTCAATACTGCAGAAAATTGATATCAGGAATTAAAGTAATCGAAGTTTATTTTTAGAATATCAATGCAAAAGAAAACAGGGCGCAAAAGTGGATTCTACATTATTGAGGAAATAGACCTTGTACCTTGGGTCCTTTCACAGCGAGACTTTCGCCAACACGCATCTCTCTGAAATGGTGGGACATTCTTCCTTGTGGATACATCTAATTTAGAAGGAAATCAAAATTAAGTTAAGCAGTTCAAATTGATCAAGAAGCGACTACTAGCGTGGTCCAACTGGAGCAAAATGAACTGTCCCTTCTTTGTAACCTCCCCTTGTGTGATCAGCCTTAGAATGATAAAAAAATGTGACCTTTTCTAGCAGCAATTGCTAACAAGATCGAATAACAGGACCCAATTAACTATGGCCAATAAGTAGTTTCCAACATCACAGCCCATTTGTTGCATGAAAAGACAGTGTTCAAGTTGAGGTAACGAAGTCAAGTGAAGGAAAGATCATGCACCTTAATAACTAACTCAAAAGATCCAACATCAGAGTCAAGCGTAGTTGGAGTATAGGGTTTAATTACTTCCTCTCCCTGACTATCCTTGCCCCTGCAAGAGAGAAAGCTGTATAAGAACCAAGCTATGACAAATAAACAGGCCAAAAGGAAAGACCCAACTCCATCAGCCGCAGTATTATTTCTCTATTATCATGGTTGATGCAGAACAAATTCTGACGACCAATACCATGTCAAGAAATGTGCAAATGCGGGATATGCCTAACATGAACAATCAATCATTTTGACAAAGAGGGATCATGAAAAAACCTGCAACTAATATGCTGACCAATAGGCAAGCCCAAAACTGAAGTTGGAGTAGGCAGTGCAAACGTGAACTTGGCCACATTATGGCTAAGCTGCGTGCGCTTGACGAGTTTAAAGTCCCTGAAGTTCTCAGGGTCTAAGACACCTGTAAAACAAATTTATTTTTAAGTTACCGGACAATAAAACATTGAACAGTCGATCAAAACTATGGTGCATCCTACAGTTCAGCTAGATCATCTGGAACCCAATCCCCAATTATTCCCATTGAAACAAGTCCTTATCACATAGCCTCAAACTAGACAATTGGAAGCAGCTAAAACATGCATAATTTGTCTCAAAGTTTGCAACTTTGTGAGAACCCATCTCTCAGAAATAACAACCAAGGTAAACCCAGCCGAGAAAACCACATCATAACATCAATTCCCATCTAAGTTTGGCCAGTAGCCCAAAACAGAGAAGAGATGTGAGAAGTCCAAACCTCTAGGTTTCTTGGAAGAGAAGAGGAAGATAGCACCAATGGCAATGGCGACAACAGCCACTGCAACTCCCACGAGGATCTGAGGGTCAACTGTCTGCAGGAATTCCAAATCCATCCTAGCGATAGTTGAGCGATCCCCCCAAAACCCACGGTTTTCCCAGGCAACTTGCCACCCAGCTGAAAGCAAGCAAATTTATACGAGGGAGTTGGGCCGGTGGGGGCGTCTCTCAGCTGTGGGTGAAAAAAACAAGGGAAAGACTGAGAACGCGATTCGAATCAAAACTGGGGGCTTGAATGAAAGAGAATCGGGGTCGGGGATGGGGTTTTGTGAATTAATTATGTGTGTTTTATTTGAAAACTTGGTAGGTGAAGAAATTTGGAGGCATGAGATGAGATGGGAGTGATTTTGGTATAACCAGAAAATTGGTGGGGCTTTTCAGGGAATTCTGGTACACCTACCAACAACACCACAGTCCATCGACAAACACTCACGCGTGGGAAGTTCACTTGTCACGTGCCTATTTCTAGCACGATTGGGCTGAGTGGTCACGGTTTGGTGAGTAGTGCCCCGACTGCCGAATCTGCCTTTTCAGTGTTTGGTTTTGATGTTACATCCCAACTTTTCAGAGTTTTTTCCAGAAATAGCACCTTTAAAAAAAAAAATTACAAAACTAGCACTCTTCCAAAACTAATTACAAAACTAGCACCTATTTTAATGAATCGCACCTTAGAGGTGCGTTTTATAAATGAAACGCAGCCTTAGAATGCGTTTCCTTCATAAATCGCACCCCTAAGATGCGATTTCTCAGGTAAATCGCATCCCCAAGATGCGATCCAAGTTTGGTCGCCAGCGACCTTCTGGATCGCACGATTAAGATGCGATCTGACGGGCTGCAGCATAGCCACGTCAGCAATCCGCGCGACTGAGTGTGGATCGCACTGGTGAGGTGCGATTTCTCGCCTGGAAAAGTGGAGCGTCATGATTCTGCGCGTTCAACGCATCGGGACGCGGGGATCGCATCCGGGGAATGCGATTTGGCGTGGAGATCGCACCGGGGAGATGCGATTTCTACGGGGTAAAATTACCCTATCGCCCCCGAGGGGTGCGATCTGTTGGGTATAAATACCCCCCCTCCCCCTCTCATTTCTTCACTCCACACAACCCATTCTCCTTCTCTCTCTAGATATAATCTCTCTAAACCCTCCCCTCCCAAAAGCCTAGGAAATAAAAGTCTGTTGGTTGCGGCTAAGTCCGATCTGCCATCAGAAAATATTTCTTAGGTTTTTTCCTCAAAAACCCGCCGAGCCGAGCCGAAGCTCTGTCCGAATTACGCCGAAAAAATGGCCGATTGGTGGCAAGGAGAAGGAGTTTTCGTCGATGAATTTCAAGCGGTATGTACTCATCATTCTGGTTTAATTTTTATTGTTGTTATAAGTTTTTTAATTAATCTATGTACTAACCTAGTTATTTTATCGTAGGTTGGGGAGGGCGTCGATATATACAACCAAAGGTATTATCTCGAGCAAGGACCGGTGGATCCAACCGACTTGTACGACCAAGCCAATCATCGGTCAAGGGATGTTTGGAACGATCACCCGGTACATACAATTCTTCACCATTTGTCCTTCTTTTATTTTGTTAATGTGCCTAGTGTAATATAAAATAAATTTATGTTTATTTTTTAATCGTGTTGGTGGTTTTCAATAATTTAATCGAATACATAGCGCCACTTACTTCGACTCTTTATAAAGAGATGCACGTCTAAGGAAATGGGGTTTTAAGCGATTATCATATCCTCCCATTACCTGGGAAAATCGGGTATTAAGAGATCCTCGGATCCCCCCTTTTTCTGTCAAAAAGACTGCGTTTCTAAGAAGATGTATACCTCTTCTAAGAGTCTAACGAGTGTTGCTTTGTATTCGATTAAATTATTTAAAACCACCAACACGATTAAATTATTTACCAAACATTTGAATATGTATGTTTCTACTTAAATTATTATTCATTAACAATGTTATTTATGTTAATTAATTAAATATGTTTGTTTTACGATAATATGTATGTACCTCTTTAAATTATTATTCATTGACAATGTTTTATGATAATATGAAATGTCTTTTTATGATAATAAAATTATGTTTTATGTTGCATAATTTAATTAAATTAATTTAGTTATACGAAAAAACACCCTTACTAATAATAATTAACGTGTAAAATTTTCCTAGGAGTCACAAACAATAATCCGCTACAGGGGTACCACAAATGTGCTCCCATTCCACCCCGCTATCTTGCCATTTCTCAAAAGGGCACGGTTAGACTCGATTAGGCATTTTAACGGCATCCAAATCGATCGTCAACTCATCACCGCATTGGCCGAGAGATGGAGAAAGGAGACCCATTGTTTCAACCTTAGAGAAGGGGAGGCCACCATCACGCTAAAGGATGTCGCCATCCTAACCCATCTGCCCATCGACGGCAAACCAGTGTGTGTGTGTTGACCGCACGGGATATGACCCAGTGGCCGTGTCTCTTGCTGTTGATGGCCCGAATCCTAACATTGCACCCCTCGTGATGATTACGGCATCTGACTATGAGCCTTTTGGTGTTGGAATGAGTTGTGTCCCATTCAAAATGCCGAGTCATTGCTTCAGTCTCAAGGGCGTGCCGCACATCCTTCTTCGAGCCAAATTGTTGGCCCTTCGTAAACCCAGTGAGTGGGCCCCATATTGGGACCTCTGGCGGCTCCATGTCGCTGTCGACCATCCAATTGTCGTCTGGAATGTGATTGTAGTAGGGGACTGGTACACGGTCAGGAGCTTGCTCACCATCATTATCCGAACCCGAATCTGGTGCTGAATCATCAGCACCTTCAAGAGGGTCTGAGCTGTCTGCACTGACGTTGTTTTCTCCTTCTTCATCAGAGGGGTCGCTGACTGGTCCTGGTGTGGCAGCCTCCGTCTGATCCTGCTCATGAAAGGCACCTTCATCAGCTCCATAATGGTAGTTGTGAAAACTACCGCTGCCTGTCAGGAAGTTGTACTGGGCTTGGTTGGGGATGTCCGGTTGAACTTCTTCTTCATATGACGAGAACGATTGATGATGGCCTGCACCTTGCCCTCCATCTTGGTACTGAAAATAGGAATGAGGATCATGGTAACTTTGGTAGGGATGATCGTCATATAATTCACCTCCACCATGGATACCAGATGTTTGACCGTGTCCAGAATGACCTCCAACACTAACGGCTGGCTCGGTGTAAACGAACATCTCGGCTTTGTGCAATTTGTTGGACCTCAAGAATTCGAGCATGGAATCTACGTCATCTTGAGTGGTTATGGTATATTCCTCATGCCACAATGACCCAGTTGCTCTGTTTGGGTATCGGTACACCATACGATCTACCCTCCTCGTGCCATCCATGCAAGTAACGTCAGTGCATATTCGATGGAGGTCTTCAAGTTTCGGTCTGGTACCGACCGTTACTTTCTGAAAATTGCCACCGACGTAGGTGGCCCCCTTTCCGGTGTCTTCCGTGTAACCATTCCACCGTAAGCCAAGCAACAACTGACGGAATGCCATCTGCATACAAACAAACCATAGTTTAGTTAATATCATAAAAATCACAAATCACAAATAACAATAAAAAGTAACACAAAATAAACTTACGAGCATATGTTAATGGCATAAAAAGTAACACAAATTAAAGTTACGAGTTCATGTTAATGGCATAAAAAGTAACACAAAATAAACTTACGAGATAATGTTAATGGCATAAAAAGTAACACAAAATAAACTTACGAGTTAATCTTAATGGCAAACACACTAAATAAATATAGATATACAACAGAAAAATGAAAGAGAATGCGAGGGAGAATGAGAGGTGTGAAGAGTCTGTTTTCCGGCAAGTCTTTATATAGGGGAAAAAATTGTGAAAACCGCACCTCTAGGGTGCGGTTTTAGTCTGCCATGCAACCCTACGTCGATAATTCTCTGCATGTCTGTGATGGGTGTCGGGAAATAATTGACACGTAAACCGCACCTGGGGGGTGCGATCTACGTGGTGAAACCGCACCTTGCAGATGCGATTCATGTTTGGAGAAGTAAATCGCATGGCCGAGGTGCGATTTAGGTAGGTCAGGCCTAAAACGCACCTCGGCCATGCGTTTCATGTAGGCCAGACATGAAAACGCACGGGCAAGGTGCGATTTAGGCCCACCAAATCAGATCGCACTCTCAAGGTGCGATTTACGTGTAAAACGCACCTGGGGGATGCGGTTTATGTGTAAATCGCACCTGGAGGGTGCGGTCAATATAAAAGGGTGCTAGTTTTGTAAATATTTTTGGCAGGGTGCTATTTTTGTAATTTTTTTTTAAAGGGTGCTATTATTGGAAAAATCTCAACTTTTCAGCGTATAAACGGATTAAGAAACTTCGTGATGTGCATGTGATCAAGGATGCTGATTATGATTTGATGAGGCTAGATCGGTTTAAGATAGGATGCATAACTTTAGCGTGCTTAAAATGAGTGATTAAATTTGGATTCTTTTTTTAAGTGGTTGTAGATCTATTTAAGTGTTGTAAATTAAATGCATTTTATTTTCTTTATTTTTCTTAATCAGATCATATCTTTTTTATTCTAACTCGGATTTCAAAATTTTTTTGCACTGATGGAACGAGTACGTTGTGCTCTACAAAATGAGATTCATTTTCAATATTCTTTTAGAAAAAAATACCTTTCGTTACCAACTCCATAGTCCATACCATATGGTATCTCATTCGCTTTTTAGTCGTTTTCGGAAATTTTTGCACATAAGGAACGAATTAATCATGATCTATTGGATTTCAAAATTTTATGGCTGAAAAATTTTATGCCTCTCGTTACCAACTCCATACCATACTACCAGGGTGATATTTTTCATACCTTATGATAGCTTAGTTTGGCCCTGCTGTAGCTTTTGCTGAAGCAGCTTCTGGCTGGAGCTTTTAGATAAGTACTTTTCAAAAAAAGCAATTGAGTGTTTGGCTGTAAAACTATTAGAAGTGCTTTTTAATGTGAGAAATTGTGTAAAATGACTATAAAGGACTTATAATATAAAATAAAAATAAAAATTCTAAACAATAAAAAGTAGTCAAAATGGATCTTGTTAGATTTCTTTTATATTAAATAATATAATTTTATAATTTATTTTATTTTTAAAATGATATAAATGAAGGAAAATTATATTTTCTGAAATAAAATTAAAATATGGTAAGGATAATCTTGTATTTTCAAAACAGCTTTTCACAGAAGCTCCAAATCGGAGCTTCTGCTTTTATGTTATACAAAAGCGCTTTTCAGCTTTTCAAAAGCCGAGCTTTTACAGGTGTTTGGCCCTGCTTCAGCTTTTGAACCCGAAAAGCACTTCTAAAAGCCGGGCCAAACATAGGGGATATGCTCTTACTTAATACCAGTCAATTAGGGATGACAAAA